AGTCTGTGGAGTAGAGTCTGAGAAAGGCCCAGAAAAGGCCTTGGGTACTGTTGGCTCCTGGCGGACCCAAGGGAGAGGCTTATGGAGAGACAGAGACCTTGAAAGCCCAGGGGAGAAGGAAGAAGAAGCAAGGGGAGGAAAAGGAAAAACAGAAGTGGAGAAAGTGAGAGAAGACAGAAAATTCTGAGAGCAAAAAGGAGAAGGGGAGTAGAGCACCCAGCTCAAGGTGACAGCCAGATAACCACACAGGGACTCCTGCCCTCCCAGGCCCCTAGTCTCCCTCCCACCTGCCCAACAGCCCAAACAGGGCTTCCCTTGCTCACCCTCAGAGGCCCACCGGGTCCTGGGCTCAAGTACTCCCAAGGCTCCAGACAGGCAGGCTCAGTATGTACGCAAGACTGTCCTGGGCCTGCCCATGCAAGCCTTTGTTGGCCTGACCTGGTCTCACAGACAGCCAGGCCTCTAGTCCCTTGGAGGTGTTGGGAACCAGGTATGTCTTTGCATGCCTGTGATTGGTATCTCTGAGTGTAAGTCGTGTGTGTGTGTGTGTGTGTGTGTGTGTGTGCCCGCGCGTGTGCGTGCGTGTGTGGGTGTGTGTGTGTGTGTATATATCCAGCTCTAGTCTCCCCTGCTTCCTGCTCTCTGCCTCCTCCACCTCCCCTGTAACTCTGGCCAACACACACACACTTCCTGAAAACACTGACTGAGAAAGAAAAGTCACCCAGAATCCCCTGGGGCAGACACTTCCTCCCCGCCCCTGGACTGCACCCCCACTCCCCCCCCCCTGAAGCTAAAATGGGAAAATCAGCATTGTTTGCTGGTCCCATGAGGCCTTACAGGGTCGGTGCCCAAGAAGTCCTGGCCCTGGCTAACCCCTGCAGTCGCCTCTCCCACTCCCCATCCCCCTGCAGGAGGCTCAGAGAGGCTGGGAAATTGGCTCTTTGAAGGGAGCAGGTTCTGCCCCAGTAACAAGTGATCAGCCTTCAGAAAGACCAGGGATTGGCTGCGCTGCAAGGCATTCGGGGCACAGGAGGGAGGTCTTTCAGAGTAACCAGCCAGCTGCTGCCAAATGCAGGCAAATACTCCCTTTCCCCAAAATATCTCCAGGCACCCAAGTATCGGAGGAGAAAACTGAGGCCCATTGTAAGCTGGGAAGAGCTGTGTGGAGTAACTCTGGGAAGCAAGTTCAGAGAGTTCGTGTGTGTAATACTTGAAGCTGAGTAGGCAAGGCCAAGGCCAGGAGGCAAGGTCTGAACACTGGCTTCCCTTCAGCAGGGCTGGATGACTTTGGGCAAGTTTCTTAGCATCTCTAGAGTCCTCGGCAAGTTCTCAACCATAAGCTTAGTAATTATAAAGGGTACAGACTCTGGGCCTCCCTAGCCAGGCAGAATGTGACCTGGTTCTGAGAATCTTGGCCCTTACCAGGCGGGAAGGAGGGAACTCCATCTTTGCTTGGTTTCTGACTTGCTTACATCTTGGTCTGAGCCCCAGGATCCTATCCTAGCCTCATGCTTCCCACTGGCCTCCTGTGAAGGTTTCTCCCTTCCCAGACACGTAGGTTGGGAAGAAGGACTGAGGAGAAGGGACGTAAGGTGGACTCAGGGCCCTTTAGCCCTGTGGCCAATGTGTGCTGAGACCTTCCCATGTGCTGAGCCACCTGTATACACAAATGCATGCACTTGCACCTGAGCTCAGCATCTGCAGTGAAAAAGCTCATGGCAGCCCTCACCTCTCCACTCACTTGACAAATACTGAGGGATTGTCAGGCAGCCAGCACTGCTCAGAGGTTGTGCACTCAGCAGCAAACAAAATTAACACAGATTCTGGCCCTAGGAGAGCTGACACACTACTAGGCTCACCTTCTTAGCAGCACATGGATACACATGTACACACACTGGCTCACACCTAACTGTACACAAATAACATGTGTGCCAACTGTCCGCCCAAACAGCAGGCACACACTGTTCACAAATGTACCCACATGCTATTGGGGTCCTCACAGCAGCATAAGCATGGGCACATGTAGAATGCACACAAGCCCATGAACTCGCACACACTTCACTGCACCACTGAAACACACAGATCCCTGCACACCTAGACTTATCAGGATCACACATGGCCACCCTCAGAACCTGCACAAATGTGCAAATACACAGACATGCCACCACCCTGACAGCTTGCACAAATGTGCCTGCTCACACCCAAACTGGCCCAGGCAAGTCCTCCTGTAGAGTTGATCCCGAGAGTACACATGTGCACACATGATGAAAAAATGCTCACTCAGTCCCCAAGATTAAGAGGTGCAATGCAAATGGAGCAGAAGGATCCTGTCAGGAGAGACTGAGGTAGAAAGCTGCAGTGGGGGGCAGAAGCAGTCTTCTACCATGTACCAAGAGCCTGGGCATCACAGGAAGGGGAGAAGGGGACAAGGTGGCCAAGCAAAGGGCTCTATCTTGGCCCCCTCCCTGATCACCTCAGGGCTTGGCCTTAGCCTGTTAGAAATGGGTGAAGCTCCATCTGCTATGATTTCTTTTACCACTGTAATGACTTTACACGCCACAGGTGACCACAACTCCAGATGTTTCAATCCTAGGGCATAAGGACCCAAGCTTGGCATTTCACCCTCCAACCCACTCTGCCCTAGGAATGGCTCCAAACTGTGGGGAACATAGTTGATCCTCCATATCCCAGAGTTCCATGAATTCAACAAACTGCAGACTGAAAACATTTGAAAAAAATTCCATCTGTACTGAATGTATGCAGACTTCTTTCCTAGTCACTATTTCCTAACAATACAGTGTAACAGCTATTTACATTACATTTGATGTTATAAGGAATCCAGTCAGAGACGATTTAAAGTACATGGGAGGATGTGCATAAGTTATCCACAAATACTATAGCATTCTTATGACTGGACCCTGGAACCAATCACCCCTAGATCCCAAGGGATTGCTGTAATTTTTCTGTAAATTCTCTTAGCACAGAATGGATTTAGTTAGTGCCCTCTACCTACCTAGGGTCAGACCCTTTTTTTTTTAATGCTCTAGAGCAGGTGCTCTATCGCTTGAGCCACACCTTCAGCCTATTTTGCTCTGGTTATTTTGGAGATGGGGGAGGTCTCATGAACTATTTGCCTGGGGTGGCCTCAAACTGTGACCCTACCAATCTCAGCCTCCAAAGTAGCTGGGATTGCAGGTATGAGCCACTTACACCTAACTTGGAGCTAGAAGGTCATGGGGGCCTGACCCTCCCCAGAAGTTGGCCAAATGGCTATGCTCAAATTGAGGTTCTGAAAGTAGGGTCCAGTACGCGTGGGTATGAAAAAGACTCCCATCCTACCCTGCAAGTCTCCTGAACAAACGTCAGTGGGAGAGGGCTATGGAGGACACCCAATGGGGAAAACAGGCCCAGAAGAAAGGAAGAGGGAGCCCTACCCTTGCTTGCTTTGACTGTTCATACTTTGGTCTATAGCCTAGGACCCTATCCCGGTCTCATTCTTCCTGCCAGCCTGCTCTGAAGGCCTCTCCCTTTCTAAGACATCTAGGGCAACATGGGTTGGGGAAAAGGATGAGGAGGTTTTTTGGGGTGATGAGCTCCCCAAACTCTCTAGACTTTAAATCTCTCATATCCCCTTCTCCCTCTCCCTCTCTCTCTCTCTGGATCATGAGGTTGGAAGAATAGAAATTACTCTTGCATGTATGCAGGAGAGTGACCAGCAGATGGCGGAATAGTACAAGAAAACTCTGGTATAGGCCGTGACCAGGCTCCTCAGGGACCCTAGTACCTGTTTTCCAACCGTGTGACTCAGGAAAGGCACAATTTTCTGTGCTTCCACCAATCAAATCTCACACCACCACACACCTGGTGTGGTCTTTAGGGATCCCTGGCTTACTGCTCTTCTCTGAGTGAGGAGAACATCCCAGCCTACTTCAGTGGATCCAGCCAGTACTCCTTTCCCTGTTCTGAGCCTTAGTTTTCCTGCTTCAAACCAGGACATAAATTCCTCAGAAGGCTTGCTGCAGGAATCAAAAGTCATGTGAACAGAATGCCCCACACAGTGCCCAGAGAAAACAGGAACCAGGAGACATCTCTCTGCTCATCCCTCCTCCAGGAAGTCCACATCCAGCCCTGCCTTAGCCATTCCCTCCTGGCTGGGCCCAGGACGAAGTCAAGAACACAAGGCAGACTAGGAGCAGAAAGAGGAGAAAATAGTTCAGAGAAGAGGGAGAGAAAACAGGGTGAAGCCTCAGAGGTGTCCTGGGACTTGGTGACATTTGTTAAGCACAATGTATGACAGGAGCTCCCCCCTCACCTCAAAACCATCATCCTAGACCTTCCACTTTCTCCACACCTCATGTCCTGGTGCCAGAACGTACCCTGACCGCCCCCCCCATGTTACCGCACACTCCTGGTCCCTCGATGAACTCAGACTTCCTCCGAAACTCACTTCTGGTCCTGGCTCCAAGATCAAGAGGTGACACCACTGCCCATCCAGCCACCCAAAACAGAAACCTGGGGGCTACTGTAGCTTCCCTTGCCCTCTCTGCTTGTGTCCTGGCAGCCACAAATCCTGGTCACTCTAGGGCCTACATCTGACCCCAATCTATCCCCTCACCACCAGGTGTGTTAGCACAGCCTAAGCAGGAGCCTTACCTAACTGTGTCTGCTAGTCCTAGCCTATCCTTATCACCCTCCCCAGCAGCCAGATTGATAGCATCTACCCTCAGATAGACTCTTTGCTGGAGTCCTGCGTGGCTCCCCAACCTGGCCTGCACCACAAGCCACAGCGCCCTCCCCAAGCCTCACCCACACTCATGCAACAACCCAGCCACATTTGTCAAAGGGGCCTGGCTGCTTCCCTCCTCTGAGCTTGAACATGTGGTTCCCTCCACCAGAAACACCCTGTGTACTCCACTGTGAAGGTCACCAACACCCCTAGAGGGTCCTAGTCTCTAGGACCCTCTGCTCCAGTTTCACCCATCACAGGAGGCATCACTCACCTCAGCGGGAGGGGAGGTCCAGTGCGAGGAGGCACAGGTGGAACACTTGGTTCCACCAAATGTCGCTTGGCAGGCAGTGGGGGCAGCACAGATACTGGGGCAGCCAAGGACTGGGCCGTGAAGCAGGCAGGCGGAAGGCAGCTCCTGCGGGGAGGGATGGGAGGGGCGATAGGTATCCCCTCATCTCCGGCAGCTGAGGGCAGCGGCTCAGGTGGAGTGGCCGGTACAGGTGGTGAGCGGAAGATGTGGCGCTTCATGGGCACAGGCCGTGGGGCAGGGCGGGGTGCAGGAGCTGGGAGTGTGTGGGCACGGAGCAAACCAGCCAGGATCCGGCGACGGTGGCCGGGCAGGAGCATGCCCATGTCCGTCAGGCGGGCATCGTTGAGGCCTTGGCACTCAGTGGCCCACACCAGTCCATGCTGTTCGAATAGCCCAGTGTACTGCTCCAGGTGCAGCGCCCGCAGCCACTCGGCTACCGTTAGTGCAGCATCCCCACCCTCCGCCATGGTTCCTGCCTGCAGAGGCCCAGCCAGCAGGCCTCAGTCCAGACCTGAAATAGAGGGGCAGGAGTCAGAGGCACGGCAGCCCAGGAGTGGTCCCCAAGACCAGCATCCCTCTGTGGCTCTTTTAGGCCATGACAATCATAATCCTGAATGTCAAATCTCAAATACTGAATCCCAAAAGACCAAAATCCCTAATGTCTAAAATCCCCCAATGACAATCCTAAAAGATTAAAATTCCGAATGTTGAAGTCCTAAAACCCCTCTCAAATCACAGGTTCATGGATCTATTCTTGAGTTTCTACCTCTGCCCCATGGGCCAAGCAAGGCCACATACTGCCAGGTCTCTGAACACACGGGCTTTTCTCTCTGCCCAGCCACTGCAGCCCTAGCATCCAGCTCACAGCTCCCTCTCTAGGAAGTCCTCCATGACCCACCCCACACTTCACACCCCCACACAGAGCCTTGGCCTCTGTTGTAAGACTAGTGAATAGCACAGCTGGGCTGTTGGGCCACCCTCCCTCACCTGCCGTCCACAAGACCGAGGTCAGGGCCCAATTCCCTCTGAGGCACTAGTCGCCAGATAAGGGCCAGGCCAAGGGGCTCAGTGAGCATGTGTGGGGTCAAAAGGCATCACGGCTGGCCCCTCTGCATACCCAGTCTGGGGAAGAGCCTCCCCTCACTCAGGAAGGTGAGGCAACTCATATCGCACAGCCTCAGGGTCCTGGCCCTAAAGGTATGAGTAATGTCTTTCGCCACCAAGGCAAGGAAAGGATAATAGGGACTCTATCCTGAACTCAAGAGCTCCTGGCCTGGTAACAGTTCAGAGATGATTTGAAAAGAAGGTGACTAACAGATCAAAAGAGAAAAGTCACCAGATTACATCCACAGTACAAAGAGGCAAACTATAACATTGTTCAGCTTACTTACAAAAGAAAAGCCTAACTAAAATAGAAACAGATTGATAGTGCCTTAAACAAACAAACAAAATCTTGTTTTAATGGAAAAATAGAAAATTCCCATTAAAATAAGGAATGAGACAACAATATCCACTTCATCATTACTGTTATTACTCACATTGCTCTGAAAGTTCTAAATAACACAAATACGCAAGAGTTATAAAAAATTAGGAAAAAAGAGACCAACCATCCATCAGTTGCCAATAATAGTTTTGAGCTGGAAAGCACAACAGCTCAACTGAGAAACTATCACAGACTGCAGAAAAATGTATACATTGTAAGAACTTCTATAAATGTCACCATGTACCCCCACCCAGCACAATTAAAAAAAGGAAAAAAAAAGAAAAATGTAGTCAAAATTAATATAACAAATCACTTCTAAGCAGTAACCAGTTAGAAAGTAGAATGAAAGACTCCATTTATAATAGCATCGAAAAACATAAAACCCTCACTTCAGCAGCACGTATACTAAAATTGGAATTATACAGAGATTAGCATGGCCCCTGTAAAAGGACGGCACGCAAATTTGTGAAGTGTTCCATACTAAAAAAAAAAAATACAGCTGCATACTGCTTGGGAGGCAGAGATCAGGAAGATCGAAGTTCAAGAACAGCTGGATCAAACAAAAGTTTGCAAAACCCCATTTCAGTCAGTGGCTGGGTGTGGAGTGCACACCTGTCATCCCAGCTACGCAGGGAAGCACAAACAGAAGGACTGTGGCCTAGGCCAGCTCTGAGCCTAAATCGAGACCCTATCTCACAATAACACCAAAAGGGCTGGGAGCATGGCTCAAATGATAGAGAACCTACCCAGCAAGCTCAAAGCCCTGAGTTCAAGCCCCAGTACTGCCAAAAAAAAAAAAAAAAAAAAAACCATAAAGCACAAGAGTAGGCGTCATAAGAAATAAGAAATATCCAGTCAGGTGCCAGTGGCTCACATCTATCATCCTAGCTATTTGGGAGGCTGAGATCAGGAGAATTTTGGTTCGAAGTCAACAGAGGCAAATAGCTCAAGAGATCCCCATCTCCAAATTATCCAGAGCAAAATGGACTGGTGGAGTGGCTTAAGTGGTAGAGTACCTGCCTGGAGAGTGTGAAGCCCTGAGTTCAAACTCCAGTCTCACCAAAACACACACACACACACACACACACACACAGAGTAAACAGTATATGGGACTGGCATATGAACAGACAGATCAATCAAACAGAATAGAAATTCAAAAGGATACGCAAGTACAGTAAGAGTTTAGTATGTGATGAAAGGAGCATTTCAAATTAGTGGGAGAAAGATGGATGTCTAAATTGTTGGAATGGCTGCAGAGCAATCTAGAAAAAACTAAGGTGGACATCTACCTCATACCTCACAAAATGAATTAAGTAGATCAAAGATTTCAGAATTAAAAAATCATGAAAGGATTGAAGAATCCTCTCAAAGAGGCAAAAGCCTTTTGGAAATGACACAAACCAGAAGGCATACAAAAAAGACAACTACTGCTTTGTGCCACATTAACGATGCTTCAGTCAATGATGGTCCACATCATTGCTACGACAACAGTTCCAGAAGATTACAATGGAGCTGGAAAATTCCTATGACCTAGTGACCTCACAGCCATCCTAACCTCCACACTCAATACACTCAGTTGGCCTGTGGTGACAGTGGGGTAAACAGACCAACTACACTGCCAGTCATATAGAAGTATGTATGGCACATACACTTAGCTAGGTATGTGACACTTGATATTGATAATAAGTGGTACTGCTTTGTGTATTTACTACATGGCACTTTTTAATCCTTATTTTATTTCATTCATGTTTTGTGGGACTGGGGTTTGAACTCAGGGCTTTGCACTTGCACTCTACAGCTTGAGCCATACCTTCAGTCCGTTTTGCTTGGGGTTTTTTGTTTGGTTGGTTTTGGTTTTTTTGTAGTGGGGTCTTGCAAACTATTTGCCTGGGGTGGCCTCAAACCTCAATCCTCCTGATCTCAGTCTCCCAACTAGCTAGGATTTTAGGTGTGGACCACCAGGGCCTGGTTCATCCTTATTTTAAAGTGTAGTTCTTCCTACTTACTGGAAAGCACCAAGCTGGGTCATGCCAGCAGGAGTCATATACATCTCATGTTTACTGCATTTCTCATCCAAATGGAGGCACCACATGGAGGCACACATGGAGGCTTAGCTAGTCACAAAAAGTGACTGACCTAGACCATCTAGGTTTGTGCAAGTCCTTTCTGTGATGTTCACACCATAACAAAAGCTCCAAATGATGCATTTCCCCGTCAGTAAGCATGCATGACTGTACATAAAAATCAGGCATCCTGAGAGGTAGAAACCACCATAGGCAAAGCGAGAGATAAGCAACAGCTAGGGATATCTCACATCCTACTTGCTTCCTAAAAGCTGAAAAGCACCTAGAAATAAGATACAAATAATAACCTAACAGAAAAATGGGCCAAGAATATGAATAAAGAAATTCACAATCAGGAAGATATCAATGGCCTTTAAACATGAGACAAGGAACTTAACAAACTATAAAGGTAAAATACAGCAAAATACTGCTCTCTACTGATCAGACTTCTAACGAGCAAAAAGTCTGAGCATTTAAGGTCCCCTTCTTTCCTCCCCAGCCAGCAGGTGTTCCTCCAGGAAGGACAACACCACAGGACCTAGGAAAGCCCCACAAGCTGCCACCCTTTGACCCAGCCACCCTGGGTCAAAATGCAGGCGTTTATCCTGCAGTTTTATATGACATATATAGAAGGTTATTAGCTACTGTACTGTGAATAATAACCAAAGACTGGAAATAACCAAAATGTCCATCAATCGGAGGATAATTAACTGAATTACAGGGCGGTCATACAGTAGAACACCAAGCGCTATAAAAATGAGGAAGCTCTTTACACACCGTCATGGTATGCTCACTTAAGTGAGTGAGGGCAAGTGCAGAGCAGTATTGTAACCTTCTGCCTCTTGAGTGAAAGAAACCAGGGAAGAATGTGGGTCTGTAAGCATTCGGAGGCGCATAAAGCACCTCAGAAGAGAGCACAGGCCAGGCCATACCAGGTACCTCTCCTGAGGGGAGGAAAGCTGGGTGAGGGCACAGGAGGGAACGGAGACAGACACAGAGCTCATGGACCTGCAGTGAACACAATTCAGATGCCCTTTGCAGGGGGGTTTAGTGGGAGGAAGAACACAAGAATACCTTACTTTTAAAAAAATTCACTAAAACACATGTGCATATACACACATTGCTCACACCCCTTTTTAGATCCACAAAGGAACGCTGATCACAAATTCTGGCTTCCCTAGAAATCCACCTCAGGTAGGGAGGAAGGCTTTTCACTTAATAAAAATAAAATAAATAAAAACAACAAAATGGCTACTTGAAGGAGCCAAAGGGGCATACAAACAAATACATTCAAAGTTCTTGGGTACCATGGCTCTCAACATTACAAAGATGTCAGGTCTTCTAGGACTGAACTAGAATTTGAATATAGTTTCCTAACTGGAATTGGTTTAGACTGGCAGGCTAAACTGATATCAAAGATTTCTTGTTAAGTGGAAAAGATGCAGAACATTGTGATATAAACATCTGGGTAAAAGAAAAAGAAAAAAATACATATACACACATACACAAATACATACACAGCATACTTGGGACAGATAAACAAGAAACTGCTTTGGAGGTGAGCTGGCAGTTGGGAAGACAGGCGTCACTATTTCCTTCTTTTTAATTTTGTACTATTTTCCTCCCCCACCCCCAAAATTAACAAAATTTAAAACAGAATGTGATCACTGTGACAGCCTAGGAGTGAGAAAGAGACCAAAACTCACCAGGTAAGGAGGGGGAATCAAGTGAGCTGACACCCCCAATTCAGCCTGAGGTCCCTACCCTGCCCTCCCTGCCTGAGCCAGGCAAAGAGCCCTTCACAAGTTCTGTGGGCCTCACCCTCTGTCCGCCACCTCGGCTCTCAAAATGGACAATGGGACCTCTAGCCTCAGCACTGGGCTGAGGCTGCTGCACCCAGGTGGCTTCCCACCTCCAGCTCCTCACTCACAAGCTGGCTGCCACAGCTACTCCAAAGGGCTCCACGTCGCAGCCTAAGGTGGAAGCTGCAAAGACAGAAAAGGGGAGAAAGTCCATGAGGCAGGTCACTTTGAGCAGCTGGGATGCCAGGAGAAGGAGGAAGGGGATAGGGAAAACCAAAGAAAGGAGAAGAGAGCAGGGATGGGGAAGAGTGGAGGATGAAGACAGGGAAGAAAACCGGTCCATGGCTCCTGAAGGCCAGGCAGTGGAGTCAGACCAGAGGAAGGCCTTCTAGCAGGGTGAGGGAGCCAGCCACACAGGCCTGCCAGAAGTGGGGGCCACACCAGTGCAAAAGAGACTCGGGACTTAGCTCCTAGTCCTCCCCTAGGGCCAGTGGCTGGGATGGCTACAAGGCAGGCTTGTGCAAACTGGACAAGGAGGGAACAGATGCAGCCCCTTGACTAAGGCAAGCTTCTGACAGGAACCTAGCAGGAGAGGTAGGAGACCCCGGGGACCAGGACCCTCTCCGCTGTGCCTCAGGACCACAGAGCAGGATGGGGCAGAAGCGGGGCAACAGGTGGGACCATGAGACCCCAGGGGCTGAATCCTAAACCTGTGAGGAGGTTGAGGAAAATGGGCCAGAGAGGCGGTTTTCAGGGGAGGAGAGACAACAGGCCTGCAGGCAGGCCACAGTCCCTGCAGCCCACATGGCCCAGCTCTATGGGGCTGGGGACAGCGGGGGACAGTGGAATGGACAGGTCCCCTTCCCCCAGGCCCAGAGCAGGTTTCCCGCCATCAGGTTGGGTTAACCCAAAACGTGCTGTGCTCTGCATAATGGCTTTGGGGGGGGAGGAACTCGTGACCATTTCACAGTTGACTAGTAGGTATTTATCATAAGTAGACTATACAATTATCATTGCTTAGGATGGGGTAAAACGGGTGTGGTTTTGGTTTTTGGTGGTACTGGGGACTGAACCCAGGGCAAGTGCTCTACCACTTGAATCATGCCCCGAGCCTCTTTGTTTTTATTTTGTTTTTGAGACAGGGCCTCACTGCCTTTGCCAGGGTTAGCCTTAGATTTGAGATCTCTTGTCTGAGTAGCCGGGATTGCAGGTGTGAACCACCACACCCCAAAAAATAGGTATGTTTTTAAAGTGAGTACTTTGAAATCAAATTTTAATGGATACTTTGGATTAAAATGTTGGCAAAAATGGCAGTGCTATTCAAATGATAATTTTAAAAAAGAAGACAGTGCTTATTGTAACAGGTATCAAAGAACTTTACATTAACCCATTTAATTCTCACTGCAACCTTTAAGGCACATATAAGTGTCACCCATATTTTAAGATGAAGAAACTCGGCAGAAGTTGGCTAAGTAACCTGCCCAAAGTGTGACTTTGGCCACCAGGAAGGAACAGTATTTGAGTATAGTCTACAACTGCCTGGTCTAACACAGTAGTCAGCAGTAGCCACATACAGCTTTTGAACATTTGTGTCTCACGCCGGTAATCCTAGCTATTTTGGAGGCTGAGATCAGGAGCATTGCCATTTGAAGCCAGCTCAAGCAAAGAGTTTACGAGACCCCATCTCCAAAAATAACCAAAGCAAAGTGTGGTTCAAGTGTGGTTGCACCTGCTTTGCAAGCATGAAGGCCTGAGTTCAAGTCCCAGTCCCACCAAAAAAAGACAGAAAGAAATGAAAGAAATGTGGCTCCTGAAATGAGGTACACTGAATTTTGAAAACTTGCTACAAAAAAAGTTTGTACAATATCTCAGTTGTTTGGTTAATGATGAATGATAATATTGTGGCTATTTCTATTTAAAATATCAATTAAAATTAATTTAAAATTATTGTTTCTACTGATGCTAGGCAAACACTACCACTGAGCTGCACCCCCACTTCTGTCCTGCTTCTTTCATTGAGATGACTAGCAAATTCCACTGCACGTGGCCGGCACTGGATTTCCACTGGGGGTGTGGCTCTCGATTCAGCCACTCTGTTGGCTGACTCTCAGAAGCCACCGCAGGCACAGAGGGCACCTGCTAAGGCCAGGCGCTGCAGGGCACAGCGCAAGTGGGATGACAATGGTCCCAATCACCCCACTGGGACCGCCAGGGTTTTGAGAAAGAGGAAACCACTCCTTTCCCTAAGAAGAGCCTGGCCCCTCTGGGCCTCTCTCAAGTTCCTACTCCTGCACTAAAGGACACTGCCCAAGGTCAGAGACCTACAGACTCAGCACTGTCCCTTTGGGACAGTCCCATTCAAGGAGCTGGAAGCATGAACCAGATACCTCCAGGAACCTCAGGCTGGAGGGGACCAAATGCCACCAGCCAGCAAAAATGGCTTGTGGGTGGGGCACAGAGGGTGGCTTCCTGGAGGAAGCAGCTCCTGACATAAGAAGTCTGCGCCAGTGCAGTACACGCTAAAGAGAAGAACACACTGCCAATACTGTCCTCTCTGTTAAAAACAAAAACTCAGGGCCTCACACTTGCTAGACAGGCACTCTACCACTTGAGCCACTCCACCAGATTTTGTTCATCATGGACTTAAAATATTATGTACCTTGATGACTAAGCTTTTTGGTGTCCCCTTAAATTTTACACCCAGGGTCAGTGCCTCCCTGGCTCTCCTATCACCTGGTTTTGGAGGCTGAAGCCCTAGTCATCCTGTTGCAACAGCACCATCCCAGTTACAGGTCCCTCTCATCCTCCCCCACCCTAACGCCCATTCAGGCTGGCACACCCCACCATCCTACCTCTGATTTCATCTCCCTCCAGCATCTCTCAGCTGGGCAGGCCAGGGTCCCACCCTACTCCAAGTCCTGCCCAGGCTCCCTGTGCCCCCGACGGCTCCCCACACTTCATTCAACCCGGTCCAGTCCCGCCCCTTATGGGTGAGGAAACAAATACCCACAGGGAGGAAATGACTTGCCCAAATTCTCAATGACATACCTAGGCTAGGCTGGCCCTGTCCACAACTCCCTCACGTCACTTCCAACACCAGCCCCTGCCTGACATAGGGAGAGCCCCCCCAAACCTCTCCCTCCAGACCACCTCCTACAGAAAGTCCTCCATGATTTCGCTCAACCTCTTGGGCCTAAGGCTGAGCCACACAGTTCAGCATTGCTTTACTCTCTCTCTGGCTGCTGTTTAGGGAGGGGGTTTTTCCCTCTACCCAACCCCAAAAGTGGCCTGGGGTGTCCTGAGTCCTCCCAGTCCCAGTCCAGAAGTAAGTATGGGTCATCTCCAATCCTTGCCAGTCAGTCCTTCTTCAAGTCTGGCTTGAGTCCCTCTCTCTGGATCCAAAGCTTAAATTTTATTGCCCCATCTCGGTGCCAGCCCAGCATCCCTCTCTTGGCATCCCTACCCACTACTGATTGGTGACACCAACTTCACAAACCCAGCAAGAAGACCTGGAGCTGAGTCAATGTTAGGCACACTCAAGCTTCCTCTATCCCCTAAGCCTACTGTGTGCCCAGCCCCAGCCACATTCCCACCTCCGTCTCACTCGCCCTCATACCTTCCCAAGCCCTGGGACTTCTACCCCACGTCCTGTGTGTGAGATGGGGACTTATTCAGGTCACTTGCCAAAGCCTGCGGGGTCCTCAGAGGACATGGCTGCCTCTGGGCTAGAGAATCAGAGAGACCTCCAGAGGGCTCCTGGCTGGGCCATGAAGGCTGCGTAAAAAGTCACCAGACGGAGAAAGGAAGGATGCCAGTTCGGGCAAAGGGGACTAACTGAATGTGCAAGACCAGGGGACAGGAAAAGACCTGGCTAACCTGCAGATGGAAGTCCAGTGGGGCAGGAATACAGGACACCCAAAGAAGTTTGGTGACTCACTGCAGGTGACCCGCAGGCCTACTGACCATGTGGGTGGTTGAGTGGGTCCCTCCAGTCCCCAAGCCTCCTTTGCATTCTGATTTGCATATGTGAGTCGCTGGTCGAGCAGCCTTAAATGTCCGGCTCCTTCACCCTCAGCTCTGAGTCTCCTGAACCAGGACGTCCACCCCCCAGGTCACACCAACCAGAACCCTCTGCATAGAGCTCTGGGTTCCTGAGTGAGGAAGGGAGTGAGGTAAGCCCAGGGTCAGCCTGAGGCCTCAGCTTGTCCCCTCCACCTCCTCTCACTGCCCCACCCTGCCCCAGTCCAGCTTCCCAGCACAGATAGCTGGCCAAGGACCCCAGCGTCTTGACTTCAGGAAAGCCCTCCGACCTCTCCACACAGGAACCAAGAACAAGCAGTCAATTGGTTCTACAAACCACACCCCACCTGCACGACAAACACACACCTCAACCTACCCCCTCAGGCCACATACCTCCCAGGGCCACACACCCCTCCCTGCCACCCAGCAGTCACCCAGGGCCTCACACCCCTCCCTGCCACCCAGCAGTCGCCCAGGGCCACACACCACTCCCTGCCACCCAGCAGTCACCCAGCAGTCACTCAGCAGTCACCCAGGGCCACACACCACTTCCTGACACCCAGCAGTCACCCAGCAGTCACTCAGCAGTCACCCAGGGCCGCACACCCTCCCTGCCACCCAGCAGTCACCCAGCAGTCGCCCAGCAGTCACCCAGGGCCACACACCCTCCCTGCCACCCAGCAGTCACCCAGCAGTCGCCCAGGGCTGCACACCCCTCCTTGCCACCCAGCCTTCAACCCAACAATGTCGTCCTCAACACCCACCTTCACCCCTGCCCTACCAGTACCTACGGGCAGGGCCACCGTCCCAGGCATCTGTCGCCCTCCTGGGCGTTCGCAGGACTCCACTAGCTCAGGCTAACAGTGCAAGAAGCCTTGGGGATACTTCCTGCAGATATGAGGAACTAGATGGGGGTGGGGTTCCCAGCCCAGAGAGCACAGAAGTGACACTCCCCAGCAAAAGCCAGCTCCCTCAGTTCCAAGGCAGCAAGTGCAGCGCCAGGACATGGAGTGCAGGGTAGCTGATGGACCCCAGGACCAATAAGCTATTTTTTGCCTCTCAGGGACTCGTGGCTGCTGCATACAAGTCCCGAGAGGGCCTACTAGGCTCTCCTGCCCTAGTCCCACCTGGGTCTCTGTCCTGTTATTCTCCCTGGCTCCAGGTGTGCCCTGCCCTGTCCCATGTGGTAGGGTCTGTCTTCTGGGAGCCCGGGAGAGCAGGGAATGCCCCCAGGCCTAGGTGAATGAAGAACAGACTCAGCAACCAAGTGGGCCTGAACCAGTCCCCCCAAGCTCCAGGCCTGAACCCAGGGTGCGAGGCGAGCCTAGGCTCCAGTCCCAGCTTGCCTGAAGCCCTAAGCATGGTATATCTATCATGTCACATCTTAGACCTCCATTTTCTCTCCCTGCCTCACAGGGCCCAGCACCCAGATGACCAGGACACATCACCACATGTATATGAAAAGCCAGACTTGCGCTTTCTGTTCACTCTGCGGAGCCTAAGGCAGTCACTTCCTGTCCCTAATCCTAAGGCCACAGCTGGTCCTAACTGCAGCAGCCAAGATGCTGGGGCTTGCAGCCAGGCTCCAATCAGAACCCCAGCACCCCAAGGTTCTCAGATCCCCTGACCACCAATGAGAACCTCACCGCAGTTCCAGCCATGCCCTCTGCAGAGCTACAGCCCAATACCTCCACATGATGGCCCTCCTCCTACAGCCAAGACACCATACAGTCCCCATGCCACCCTGCACTCACCAGTTCCTCCCCAGCTTCCCTTCTCTGAAAGGAGAGCCCAGGTGGAGCCCTTAGAATAGAAAAAGATGCCTCTCCCTCCAGGAACCCCGTGACAGGGGAAGCAGAGAATGGGCTGGGCTTCGGTACTCCTCTTCGGGCTCCCACCCCACCCTACCCAACAACATGGACATCCCCACCTGGTGAGAGGCATGACATTGTAACACCCTCTTACCCAGCCTACACCACCACTATAATTAAATGCTAAACCACAGTTTCATTAATGACCATGGGGCATTAAAGGTGAATGGGGCCAGACACAGTAACTCATGCCTATAACCCCAGTTACTCAGGAAATAGAGATAGGAAAGTCATGGTTAGAGGCCAATCAGGAAGACCCTGTCTCAAAAACAAGCTGGGTGTGGTGATGAGAAGCTGTAATCCCAGCCACTTAGGAGGCAGAGGTAGCAGTTTCATGGCCCATGCAAAAACACAAGAACCCACCTAAAAAAGAAAAAACACTAAAGAAGTAAAAAATGGTGGATCATGAGTTAAGTGGTAGAGTACCAGCTTAGCGAGCATGAAGTTCTATGTTCAAACCCTAATACCACCAAAAAAAGACTAAAAGACAGTGTACATTCATAGACTTTTCTTTCAGGCCTAACCCTAACTCCCATGCTGACACCCATCTCGTGTGTCTGTGTGTGTGTGTGTGTGTATGTGTGTGTGTGTGCGCGTGTGTGCGTGTGTGGTGACTAAACCCAGGGACCTGCACATGCTAGGCAAGTGCTCTACCACTGAGCTGTGCTTCTAGCAGCCCCCGCCCCCCCCACCTGCATCTAGAGAGACTTTCACTTTCTATAAACTTCATGTCTGTACTGTTTGAAGTTTTTACAATTGCATATCAGTTTTACAATTAGAAAGGAAAAAGCTGGGAATTGTAGTTTACAATTAGAAAGGAAAAAGCTGGAGGACAGCCCTGGGTTTGATTCTCAGCACTACAAAAAGAAGAAGAAGAAGAAGAAGTAGTAGTAGTAGTAAAACTAACAGCTTAGAGGGTAATGATAAATGTATTTTAAGTCATTAGAATTGGGTTTATGTCAGTGTGTTCTCCAATACCATCCATATAAAGCAGCTTCATGGTTTGAAGTATAACGTGCACAGATTACTAAGGAAACTATTACAAATGAAACTGCTGCTGTCCTCGGCCATCTGGATTGCAGACCAGACCTGCAGCTGCCTCTCGCTCTCCTGCCCCTCCGAGGTTCTCAGACACAGCTAATCAAATAAGGTCTCCCTTCCAGGCGCCAGGAGGCCAGAGCACAGGGTGTAGCCTGGGACTTCCAAACCCTCCAACCGGGAAACCCAGAGGCCCACTAGTAAACAGGAGATTGCAGGGCCTGTGATCTGTGCGCACACACACACACACACACACACACACACACACTAGTAAACAGGAGATTGCAGGGCCTGTGATCTGTGCACACACACACACACACACACACACACACACACACACACACACACACACACACACCATGACCCCACTCAGCCCCATCCTCTCCAGGGACTCCTCATGCCCAACCCCCGCCACAGAGGAGGGTTAGGCAAGGAGGAGGTATGAATCTCTGAAGTCCTCACTTGCAAATAAAAGAAGCTGAAAGTAAAAGGGTTTAGTTGCATTTTGATTTGGTTTTCATTTTATTGAGACAGAGCAGAGTCTCACTAGATAGCCCAGGCTGGCCTGGAATTCTTGATCCTCTTCCCACGTTCTGGGATTACAGGCCTGTACCACCATGCACAGCAAAAGGTTTTGGTTTTAGGCCCTATGAAAAAAATCTATCACATACTATTCCTCTCTGACCCCATGTACCCCCAAATGGGTGGCTTGGTCCCAAAGCCTCCTCTCCAGGAACCTCATTCCTCATTGGCAGGATTCTGACACACCCTGGCCTCCATCCTTTACCCTAGGCCTCTCTGTTTTGTGGTGCTGCGGGATGGAACCCAGTGCCTTGTACATGCTAGGCAAGTGCTCCTACCACTGAGCCACCACAGCCCTTGGCTTCTCATGGGGCCTGGACCCCTAGCCCTGTGACTGCCTCCTGCCTCTCCCCCACCTGAAGCCAATGCACCCCTGAACCCACTGGGCAAATATAACATTAGGCAGAGCACCTACACTAATCCAAGCCCTCCACAGCCCTAGCTCATAGC